TTAAGTTCGCGGACGACCCCGCAGTGATAGGTCGCATCACTGGCGGGGACAAAGCAGCCTACAGGAGGGAGGTGGCTGGTCTGGTGCAAAGACAATAATCTCAGCCTCAACACGGACAAGATGAAGGAGATGATAGTGGACATGAGGAAGGAGAGGAGATCTCATCAGCCACTGTTCACCCAGGGGCTCCAAATGGAGAGGGTGAGCAGCTTCAAATACCACATCAGTGAGGACCTCACTTGGAAGAAGGCCCAACGGCGGCTGTATGTAACCCAGTGCTGAAACACCAGTCAAACATGGAATAACTATACAGTTATTAACTTTGCAGTGTGATTAAAGGACTAATAAATATAGGTTAAAAATGGGTTCATCGAGGGATTATTGAATGGTGTTGGGTGGTGGTGAGAGAACCAGTGCAGCTGCAAAGGTGTTTTGTGATGGTGCGAGCAGCCAGCCAGCTGATTTGGGTTGCACTCTCATTGGTTGGTTGGGTGGTTGTCCCTCCCTTGGGAGGGAACATCCTGTTTGAGCTCGACATCGTGTGATACACTTGGGAGCCTCGTGGTTGCAACACATGAAATTTGGAGAACTTGTGTGGAGTAGAGATTTTGAGCTGAAGGAGGGTTGTGGACCAGCCGGGACCTGGGAACCCACACCTTTGTGTTTTGCTAGCACGTTACCCCGCATTGGTCAGGTTTTTTGTCTTAGTTGGATTCAAACGGAGCTACTCTGCAGCAGCTGAGGATCGACACCTCTCCAGTACTGGATGGCGCGCCTATGAGCCCCAGGAACCGAACACAGTGGTAGCTAGTAACTACACTGGTTACAAGACATTGAATTGAACAGGACACTGAACGCTGAACAGACATGAACGGATTTCCACATACTGAAACAAAGGACTGAATTTGATTTGATTTTGTTTTGTACGAGCGCTCACCCTCAGTTAATTTATTTTCCAATGAATGTGAAGTTTTTCCCCCCATTCATTTATAATATAAAATTCAACTGTTTTACCATAAATTGTGTTGGTTGTTTCACTGTAGTTATTCATCTGAACCAGTGCAGCTGCAAAGGTGTTTTGTGATGGTGCGAGCAGCCAGCCAGCTGATTTGGGTTGCACTCTCATTGGTTGGTTGGGTGGTTGTCCCTCCCTTGGGAGCGAACATCCTGTTTGAGCTCGACATCGTGTGATACACTTGGGAGCCTCGTGGTTGCGACACAGGAAATTTGGAGAATTTGTGAAACGAGAATATTGTGGAGTAGAGATTTTGAGCTGAAGGAGGGTTGTGGACCGGCCGGGACCTGGGAACCCACACTTTTGTGTTTTGCTAGCACGTTACCCCGCATTGGTCAGGTTTTTTGTTTTAGTTGGATTCAAACGGAGCTACTCTGCAGCAGCTGAGAATCGACACCTCTCCAGTACTGGATGGCGAGCCTGAGCCCAAGGAACCGAACTCAGTGGTAGCTAGTAACTACAGTGCCTTGCGAAAGTATTTGGCCCCCTTGAACTTTGCGACCTTTTGCCACACTTCAGGCTTCAAACATAAAGATATAAAACTGTAATTTTTTGTGAAGAATCAACAACAAGTGGGACACAATCATGAAGTGGAACGAAATTTATTGGATATTTCAAACTTTTTTAACATTTGCTGCTTAAAGTGCCTTAGATTTTGTGTTACTTATCTACTTTATATTTCATTTGTATTGTGTGGCATTCATGTGGACGGCAAAGTAAGGATTTCATTGTACAGGTAAACGTGTTTCCGTACTGTGCATATGACAAACACTTTGACTTTGACTTTGAAGAACCTGGTAACCAGTTCTTTGTTTGCACACCAGTCAGTATGCTCTGCCTGTTTGTCCTTTCATGCCAGTGTCAAGCAAACATAAAAACTATAAATGGATTAATTTGTGTATTTGTATTTAGTAACCCTTTAACACATAACAGTTTCACTGGCAAATGTAAACCTGAGTTGTAAGTGTAATTAATGTTGCAGGGCTAACTCCTCACAAACATAAAGTACATTGCAATCAGTTAAATATAGAAATACAGTGGCACGTAGGCTAGTGCTACATGTTGGATCGGCTCTAAAGGTTCACGCTCCTCTGTAGAAACTCTAGTCAGAAGGTTTACTTGCCTATGATAAGCTCATTTTGGTTCATCACTGGATTCAACCATTTAAAACGTTTTTAGTGGTAACTGGCATGTAGGGCTATAATATTTGAGGAGTGAATTGCTGGAAAGTAAATTTCATTTGTATTTTGTGGCATTCATGTGGACGGCAAAGTAAGAATTTCATTGTACAGGGAAACACGTTTCCTAACTGTGCATATGACAAATCCTTTGACCTAAAGATTGATTGTTTGTTTCTAAGGATTGAAGTAACACTGCCAGTTGATAGCTGTCTGGTGAGACAATAATAGGAGGCTGAAAATACTATAGAGCCAATACAACATATTTGGATGATTTTTTGTTGTTATAGGAAATATAGAGAAAAACGTGTGGGGAAACCTGAAGGCTCAGAAATGTCGTAGGTAGTAGGTGATACAGTTCTTCCTGTTATGGGATCCACCTTCTGTTTGGCCTGTGGCTGGGGTAATGTACTGTATGTCACCCAAGCAGTATGCAGGCTTGAGAAGAAAAGATTCAGAGATGTACCTGTCCTCTGATAGTGTTGCCTTAGCCTCTTGTACTGGGATTCTTGGGTCATCGTTTTGTTTTTTGTGTGTGTGTGTGTTGAGATTAGTCTGAGAACGGAGGATACTGCTGTGTTTTTTTGTTTTGTTTTTAGTATAGTGTATGTATCTGTTACTGTAGGTCTCTCTGTTTACCATCAGTCTCAGAAGCCTCCACATTCCTTTAGTAGTCTGCCCAGCCAAGGCTCAGGGCAAATGGACTGTGTGTGTATGTCTTTGCCAGCCCAGCTGCAGCTCAGAGAGCAGCCTGGATACACTTTTGAGTGTGAGCTATGCTCTCAGCTTTATTTTTAAGGCCTTAAGTCATATGAAATCTGACTGTAGTGCTGCTTGTGTCTGCGGGTTTGCATAACACACTAGTCATGGCTATTCTACTTACTTTGACATCCACCTGGATTGTCATATTGTTTTTATAATAAAGTCAGATTTTCAACTTCATGGATGTAAAACAAACAAACAAAAACAACAACAAAGTAACATACTAAACTGTATTGTAGGCTTTTTAGAAACAGTGTTCTAGACAAACAATATTAAAGACATTATAATAAGCATGTTTAATTTGAGTTATTTTTCATGTAGAGCTTTAATTCTTTGTTTTTCTCAAGTACAGTCTGTGTGTAATTGTGTGCCATCAATTCCTCTATCTCCTTTTTCCCCTTCTTCTTTTGTTCTGCATTTCTCTTTCTATCAGCTACAGAATAAAAAGATACACACAAACAAAAAAAGGTGGAGCTATTCGGATCAGACCAGTGTTTTCTCCTCTTCTCTTGTGTCCTCTAGTGAATGGTCAAAAGTGAAGCAGCAGAGGCTATGATAATCTGACTTTGCATCCTGAATATCAGTCAACCTCTAAAAACACTGCATCCTATGTTTCCCATAATACAACTCAAAAAGGACAACATAGACTCTCTGAATCTCCTAAAAGTGACTCATAACCCAGTTGATATCATGGGGTTTGAAATTTATTTTTTTAAGACTTTACAAACCTCCTCCAGAGCTGCAGAAGACAAGTGTTGTGTTTGTAACAGGGTGAATAGTCTTCTTCATGGCTAAACTCTCTATTACAGTGAAGTGTCCCTTTAAAGTCATCATACGGAGTAATTATCATTTTAAAACTTCCAGTTAGCATCAAAAAGATCAAACACCTCTACGAAAGTACTGCAAAACTGTCCGTCTGCCAAAAACATAAAAACGGCCTTTTCAGAGAAGAAGATGGGGAAAACTTAAGTGAACCCACACTGAGTCCCACGCTCTGTGGGATGATATTAGATATTTAATTGGATCTTAATAATAGCCTTTAGGTTAGCAAGCTGGCATCTATTCAGTCCAAACCACAGTATCTCTTCCTTCTCCACCATGATGGATTCCCCAGACCAAACCTCCTCAGAAACCCTTTAGCAAGCCAAAAGGAAGTCATTGTGTGGTGTGAATATTAAGCAGGGGGCGGACATGTCTGTTATGTTACAGTGTGTGTATGGGAGAAAAACACGCAGTGATCTGGTATTTTACTGTGGCTGTTCCTGACGATAAACAATAAGATTTAAGAAAATTAACCTAGACCACAGAGGTGAGTGATGTAGTTCAGTAGACTCCAGTGTAAAGACATGTTCCACACACATGCAGTGCTATCTTGGGTTATTTCATTTTTGAATGAGTTGAAGTTTGTCTTCCAAGACATACTGGCACTTAGGTTTATTAGTGCTAGTTCTTCCTCCTCATTTTATTTTGTTGTAATTTTCATCAGTATAAACTGCATCAACACTCAAAGCCTTTTTTTGATTAAAATCTAGTTTTTCTCTTTTCATTTCTTTAAACATAAGCTGGGCTTTTTTTTTTTTTTATCTTAAGTTGTTCCTGCAAGCTCTTCTTTTACATCTCTCACATTTCACATCCTCTGTAATTGCAGTGTGCGCAGAGATAAGGTGACAGCAAGACAAGCACTGATTGACAACAGTGAAATATTTCTAGAGTGACAGGTTTGGGGGCAGGAGTGTGTACATGTGGGTATGTGTGCCATTCATTCTGAATGACAGAGAATGTGCTAGAATTGACTGTAAAACTCAGATAAGGATATATGAGACCACTGAGGTGACCTCGTATCACCATGGAGGAAGGTGACTAACAAACTTGGTTTTCACACACACTGACAGTGTATCATAAATTCTGTATTACAAAGGATCCAGCCACTTTGTATATACATGCTACCACAAACTCACAAATATACTGTAGACACTGTGACACACACCCCTTTGCAGATATCATTATAGCCTTATCTCTGCTGTGCAGTGACTCCTAACCCCTTATCTACACACATACACAGTGATGTTTAATGTGATGGTCTTCCTTGCTTTAATGTTATGTTCATACTAAATGTTATATGTGCTGAAATAAAACAGTAAAATTTTCCAAAAAAAACTTGTTCATATGCAAGTTAATCACTCTTGGAAATGTTTTGAATTGTTTACTCGACTGTCGGGATGCTTTTTCTTACATTCAACATGATTTCACAGCAAAATTTGACAATTAAAGAAACTGTTCCTCAGCCATATTGAAGCACATATCACGCTAATGTGGCCTTAAACAATCCCTACATGCAGCTGGGTTGTATTTGTGACCTTTGACCTCCACTGACACATTAGCCCTCCCTGTGTGGTGGCAAATACAATAAATGATTTTACCATGTAGATGAGCTTTTGAACTAAATAAGTGTGATTCACAGATCTTAGTTTTGTGCTGGAGAGTGAATCAAGTGCAGGTCTGCGGTCTAGAATACCAGGGAGGGTACATTTTGCTTTGAGCTACAGGAGTGGATAATAACAAGGCTGATAATTATTTTCTTCTACCCTCTCTTTATTTCAAACATTTTATGACTTTTTTGTTTCACTTTATTTATATTTTGTTTGTTTCTCTAAAATCCCTCCAATCTCTCCAGGGCCACATCTAACAGCAAGGTTAAAGACATGGCTCTGTTGGAGTTGAGCTATGTTAACGCCACCCTGCAGCTACTGAAGGGAGAGCTGGAAGGGCTCAACAGCTCAGTAGAAGTTTACCAGAACCCCCAGTAAGTAGAAATACTCTCACTCTACTTTTTGCTATACTACAAATATTGGCTAATTGCAAGTGACAAGTGTTATTAAAAAAAAATCGTAAAAAGAAAGTGCATATGAATTTGTTGCAGCACAAAGGTGTCTACACCTGCCATACAGGCTTGATGAGGTCATTTTTTGACTGGTGCTGTCAACCTCAGACTAAACCACACAGTGTTGATTGGCGGCCTACAAGAGATTGATGGTTCAGACAGTCCATGGTTCAAACTTTCAGATGAAAGACATTTGATGACAGGGAAGTAGAGAAGAGAATGGATACAGGGTCAAACAAGAAAAACATGAATGCAAAGTGTCCGTTGTTGTCAAACTGGACCAGCTGGATTTTGTGACAACACAGAGAACAACAAGGAAATGATGAGCTGAATGTGTCTGCAGAGTAAGATAAGCATCTAGTACAAGGCTTTTCTCAGTTGGTGTGATGGGTGTGGATGGCTCTGGTGTATTCTTTCTTGAGAAGACGAGCAAAGTTTATAGGGTGTGGGTAACATTATGTAGGCCATAAGGAAACACATTCTGTTTTCAGTCGCATGTCAAGTAAGCTTTGGTAAGACATAAGGTACTTGATGACTGGGATACGGAAACACAGAAGCTTATACATTTAAAGTGGTGACAGATATTGTTTTGGCATCTGTCTGTGCTGCAAACAAATTTTCTTATGACAGGCAATATAGCCAGACAGCCTAAATCAGGTTTAAAGTTAACCATGGTGCTTTTTAATGACTAAAAGCAAACACTCCAGTGGTTGGGTCTCAGTTTGAGAGGTAACAAATTTAAAACTTAAGGCAATAACGGCTTTTCAATGTAAACATATAGCATTTCAAAACATTAGCCTTCAAATTGTTCATGTTTAATAATGCAAGTTAGAATGAGTAAAATGATTTTTTGATTGAAGCACATCTGCTTCCAGGTGGCGTGTTTCATTATAGTGTCCATGGCATGCTCACTTCCAGCCATTTAATGTTTAATCTTGGGTACCTCAAAATTAGCTTTGCAACCATCATAACTCCAAATAGTCTAATTATTTCGATAACGAAATAATTATGAAGATAAAACCATAGTTCATGAACCCACACACCACCTGCTGCCAGTGTAGTGTTGAATATAGACAGCACAACAGCATGAAGTAAATTGAATTTATCCTCCTTTGATGGGTAAACAACAGCATATGTACCAATGAAAAGAGATCGGTAACACTCTTACCAAAGCAGGTAAATGAGAAACCTTTAACTAGCATAATGCAGACATAGTAACTTCTCCAGCAACAAGTCATTAACAGGCATGCAACGTGTGATTATATATACAGTGTATATATATATATTTTTTTTAACTTAATTCTAAGTCCCACCGAGTAGTAGAAACATTGGTTCCTTTCAAGTAGCTCCAAGTAAATCACCACTAAATCTAGCTGGTGGTTGCTTCTCCCACATGACCACATACAGTCCCAAAGTAGTGAAATTAATTCAAACAGGTAGCGCAGCACCAACAATTACATCATGGGTCTTTAATCTTCTCATTAACCCAAATCACATCACAAGTGGCAGACACACTGGCCTCAAGCAGTCAAAACAAACAGGTAGCATTGATGAGCTGATCATTCACCACCCCAGGGGGCTTCACAGGCCAGCTGCTTGTAGGTTAGACCCGGTCAGGTAAAACAATGAGTCCCTCTCCAGGAATATTCCCGGAAATGCAACAACCTCAGGCCCTGTATTTTTCACCACATTTTCTGGTCACAGTGCAGGCAGCAGGAGGTAAAATATATCCACAAAGCCACATACAGTCTCAAAATTCTGCTTTTACAATTGCACCGGTGGATGTCAGGCAAGTTCACATGAACATGCAACTGCCTGTAGATTATGACCATTCAAGGAAATTCTTAAACTATCACTTAATACTTTATTTTGTTAGAGAAAAAGTCTTGTAAGCAAGATCTAACATTGTAGATAAGTCAGAAAACAAGGAAAAGCATGTTATGGGCTGTTTAACAATGCTTCAGACCTCCTTTAAACCATCAGCCCAGGCACACCAAGTCTTAACCCACAAACAGCCCTTTGGACATTGTGAGAAAAGGGGGACCATCCAAACTGTCCTGACTCCCATGGTATAGAACTCAAACTGGTCCTCACAATGTAAAGCCCTTCTTTTAAATTCTGACAACAACAGATGCACTTATAAATTCCCAAATTCTAGCATTTTTTTGGTGCTACACAAAGCATAGATTATGCTTCAGTCTAGTTGTCAGGCTATTAGAGAAGCACCTGTTCTCTGCTGCATTGACAGACAATAGGTAGACTGTGAAATTACTATCACCTGTCCTCCATTTTGTTTTTCTTTTAAAGCAAATTAAGTATCTGTAAAGTCCAAAGTTGTCATATTCACAGTGCTAGCTGTAGAAAAGGCCATGCATGCAAGTGCACAGGTAGCATGTATGCTGGAATATGCTGGGAAAGTCCTCCTCTGTTGTTTGAGCAGGTGTCTCAGTGGGGTGATGCTATACAGCCTCAATAGAGAGTTAAGCTCCTCCTCTCAGCCTGAAATACAGCTTCGGTTTTGGGTACTGAAACGGGAACCTCACCTGATTTGTCTAGACTTTTCTCACTCGTGCCTTGTCCTCTGCATAGCATCTTTCTGAGGTTGTTTTTCACTCAGACCAGATTTAGTTGGTTCTGCCATGAGGTAATGCATAACAGAAAGCACATACAGTATGTAAATGGTAAATGGACTGTATTTATATAGCGCTTTTTTCCAAAGCGCTTTACAGGGAGATCATACCACCATTCACCCATTCACGCACACATTCACACACCGATGACGACAGCTGCCACACAACGGCGCTAATCAAGCCACCGGGAGCAATTCGGGGTTCAGTGTCTTGCCCAGGGACACTTAGGCATGTGGGGAGACCGGGAGTCGAACCACCAACTTGCTGGTCAGGAGACGACTGCCCTACCTCGTGAGCCACAGCCACCCCTGTGCTGGTGGCTGGTGCAGTGCATGTACTATATACGGAGTTGCTAATCTCCTTTGACCACCATATGGAAAAAAATAGCAGCTTTTCATTGTCTTATGAAACACAGAAAAAAAGTTGTTGAACGTTATGCCTATTATATTAATTTATGAGTATATTATTCCATCCACAGAATCAAAATGTTACATGTTCTGTAGCAAATGCTTGCTCAGGACTGTCGTGTAAAGTTCTTGACTTTGACAACAAAGTGAATGTTCTTAAAGACCTTCTGAACCAGCTTGCTGAAATGGGGGTAAATGAAAACAAAAATATCAGCACCGCAGGCTGCTTCTTTAACTTTGCTACACGAGACAGAATGGAAAAGATAACTTGCGCTTCTTTGCACAGTTATCCGACATTACTTCAGACAGATGAGACTCTCTTCTGGGACCAAAATCTCTTACGATAGTTTGAAACATATCAGTACACTGTGTAAGGAAGAAAATTCATGTTCACTGTATGCAGTCAGATTGCGACTTCACATATTTTGCAAGTCAGTAAATGGTTTCAAATTGTGCCAGACTTTGTAAAACAGAGCTTGGACTGGACCACCAGGGCGGTAGCGTTCTGTTTCTGATCTTGTACACTGGCACTTGAACAGTAGGTGGGAAGGTGTATGCATTTGTTTGTGCATGTGCAGGGAGCTGGATGAGCTTTTGAGAGGCTTTCAACATTTCAGATTCCTGCAGAACAGATACCCTCATCCCCCATTCCCTTATCCTCCATTCCCCTTCCCATTGCCATACCAGAGAAAACACCAATGTGATCTCATCTACAAGCCAGAGGAATGCTTGCTTATCATCAAGTGATGAATGAGTGTGAGGAGTTGTTTTTCTGAACCTTGCATTTTTAAAGTCTTGTGTGTTAAAAAGTCAGTAAATCAGATTGGAACCCCCTTGATGGAAAGCTGTGATTGTAATAGATCTGGGATAAGATCATATATTAATACTCAAAAATATTGGTTATTTGGGGCTGAACCTTGTGCTACTGGTCCTCTCATTGGTGATTGGTTTAAATAACTCACAGGCAGATGCCTGTGATGTACTGTAAATCCAAAAACAACTCAGGTTTGTTCTTAAAAAGTGCAATTTCTTTAGTAACACCTCATTCTGCTTGCAGTAGGGGGAAGGGTTTTGTTTTTTAAAGACTGCCTGACCAGCAGCAGGTATCTGTCAGGTTGTATTTCCTCAGCTCTGATAACAACCTGAACCTGCTTTCCATCTGTCAGCAGCCCAGACCTTCAGGTTCAGACAACCCCAGCAACCCCAGCTGGGATCAAAACAGAGGGTTAAACTGGTACTTTATGGTATCCTGTGTTTACTGTTTGGTGGGTTAAAATAATAGAAGATAAATGGCTGCTTTGACTGGTGAGAGAAAAAATTGTTAGCATTACTAAAGCAAGACTGCAACTCAAATCATTAGAGCTGTATAGATTAACAAGACAGGAAGACATGAGGGCCCCGTTTCCCTTTAAATCCTTACTCCACCAGTGTGTGCTGTGCTTTGTCCTTAACAGCACCATCTGCCTAATCCAGACTTACCTTCTGTGAAAGTACACTCAAGATTAAACTAAAACGCACAGCAACGGGGATGCCACTGGCTGTGCTTAGCACCCTATGCATCATTATTTACTGATTTGACTGTTTTGTCAACATGAGATCCCCAACAAGACTTGGTCTGTGCTATATGATAAATTGTACCCCATTTTAGTCTTCTTTTTTTTCTGCCTATTAACCTATTAATTCCAGGGCTCCATTGCAAAAGAGTTTGTAGACCTCAATGGGATTCTCCCTAGTTAAATAAAGATAAAATAAGGTACATATAACATAGACTAATTGTGGACATTTGTGTGTCTTTCTCTTCACATAGTTATTGTTGTTTGCAGACAAACACAGCAGAGTCTTTATTTGCAGGTCTTCCTGTGTCATGAGTTGTCAGCATTTCTGTTATTGTCTTAGTTGCTGAACTGTCTGTGTGCAAACTTGAAGACCATTTCCTATCATGTGTATTTTAATGGAGACAACTTGACAGACAAAATTTATATTTCTGTTATTTTGTTTTGTGCATAGGGAAACAGCCAACATCCCCCTCATTGCTCTGGGTCTGAAGGAGACAAAAGAAGTCGACTTCTCAACTCCATTCAAGGTACAGAAGAAGCAACTACAGTTTCATCATTTTCTTCATTCTACAGTAAAATTTTATTAACATTTGTACAAGCCATTTAGAATTTTCCCTTTGTTGTACAGTAATGCAGGCATTTTGACTTAAATGTTTTTCGCAAAGGGCTGCATGGTGGTACGGTGATTAGCTCTGTCGCCTCAAAGCAAAAAGGGTTCCGGGTTTGAGCCCGGACGGTCAAGGGGTCTTCCTGTGCAGAGTTTGCATGTTCTCCTTGTGCCTGTGTGGATTCTCTCTGTTTACTCTAGCTTCCTCCCACAGTCCAATGACATGCACTTTAGGTTGATTGGCAACTCTAAATTGCCCCTAGGAGTGTGTGTGTGTGTGTGTGTGGTTGTTTGCTTACATTTAAGCACGGTGATAATAATGTAATGTTATTCAGCTGTCTTTGATCATAATTTGAAGGTAACTAAGGTAAGTTATAAAGGAACTAAAACAATAGGCTTTATGCTGAATAAACACTTTGACTTGTGTCTTTGTAAAGCCACAGCTAACATCTCACTGGATTGATGCTCAGCTTGTCATCCTCATCAGTTAAACAAAACTTTTTTTTGGTATGTCACTGGGAACAGTCTTAGATGTTTTGGCTCCATAAACACAGATTGTCCTCAGTGACCTGAATATTTGAATTTAACCATGTGGAATATGACATGCATACATACAGATAAGGCATTAAAACTACTACTTACCTACAACAAATAGGACCCACATTGGTAGGCAGTGCTTGCAGTACGGATTTAGCAATTTCAAAATGAAAGTCTCCTTTCATGAAGGATTTGGGTCACATTGTTTGCACCTCGCACACTATTTATTGTCTTCTTAAGAAAAAAGTGGGTCAGGAGTTATTGAGACTACTAGGGTTATTGTAAAGCTAGGCCTTAATGCAAGGAAACACCTTTGTAAATGTCAGGTATTTGTAGTGCGTTGCACCCTGTTCTGGTATTGTGAGAGGTGTTCTGACATTATCATCTGTGAGCAGGTTTATCTGTCTTGTTGACCAGGTGTCTCTTACCTGTGGCTGGCTCTGCCAGAAGGACAGCCCTTGTCAGCCTACTTGGTAGTGCACAACTGAACTTGGCTTCCGTGTACAGTTTAGGGATCATGTGACAGAGTGGCATGGGTGTGAGAGAGGCTGCTCTGTAATCAAAAGGCCACAGTAACACCCAATAACACTCCAACAACTGGCTGGAAAGTTGAGATGATATTTGTTTCTTTTTGACAGGACTTCATCTTGGAGCACTACAATGAAGATGGGAACAGTTTTGAAGATGAGATTGCTGACCTTATGGACCTGCGACAGGTAGTGTACACTCATAATCTGATCTGATATTGCTGTATTTGTTCCTGTCTAGTTCTCTCTAATCATATTATCTTATTTTTTTGAGTACTGAGATATCAGTCTTTTGTGCTTCTGCTGCCACCCAATATATTGAGAAGAATGAAATTTTCTTTCCAGAAACACTGTCCAATTTTCTCTGCATTATCCACAGACCTTTCAGTCAACAGGTTTGCTTTCTACAAAAGAGAACTAGTCCTCTTGTCAATGGATAGTCTTTAATACTGATAAATAATATACAGGACATACTTTCTCAAAACATTTCTAAAATGTACATTTTCAGTGGAGTGAACATCACAACCAGAAATAACTAAAACAACAAACAAACCACCTCTGTTGTATGTTTTATTGTCACAGTTTTTAATGATGGATATCTGAAAACCTCCGTGTGTGGGGGTGATTTGGATCAACTGATCCTTTTACTGGGTTTCTAGTGGATGTCTTGACCACTTAGAAGATGTTCTTCCTTGCAGACCTATTGCAGAGTGTTTCAGATCTCTTTCCTGTCATGTCCTAGGCTTGCCGAACACCAGGTCGAAGTGAGGCTGGGGTGGAGCTGCTGGCAAAATACACCAGCCATCTTCCACTGATGGAGAGCCGATTTTTCTCCCCAAGTCGCCCGAATGGCATCTTCTTCACCTGGTACACACCAGTTATTAGTAATTAGCATATTGTAAAATTAAAATCAAGCTAATTAATAAACATAGAATAAAACTAAGGCAAAGGTTTATGAAACAAATTGCATAAATATTATCTTGGCTTTCTAACCTTAATATAGGTGAAGAAACAGCAGTGATAGACAGTTAACAAAGAAACTGAGGGCCATTAGCGCTGTACATCTGGGCTTTCCAAAGCTTAAGCAAATGTTCAGTCATATTTTGTTTTTTCTTTTAAATCTATGGATCAAGAAAATACCAGGCTTTGCTTCATTTCAAAGGTGACTAAAATAAGAAAATTAAACTAAAGGATCAGTATCAGAATCTGCTTTATTGGCCAGGTGTGTCAGACACATGAGGAATTTGACTCTGGTACATC